ATTTATTAATTATTATCACTTCTCATAATTGAACACAAAGCTTCTTAGGGCTCCTCCGGCCCCTGGGGTGACTCTCCCCTGCTCCCAACACATTCCCACCCTTAGGGAAGATGTTGTTTATTATGCTGATCCCACAGCTCAGGAATACTCTCCTGACAAAGCCCCTATTAACCTCAGAGTGTGGGCCTGAGTTTCTCGGAGTTTCCCACACTTTCTTCCCTATTTAGGGCATTCAGAGGCCCACAAAGGAAGCGTGCCTCACAACAGCCCACATTAGTGACGCTTTTTGGCTCCGCATTGTGAGGACCAGCAATTCCTGTCCCGATGGACCATCTGGAGAGCTATTTTCCCAAGGAGCACATTGATCGATCAGTATTATGCTAAGACCCTTTTAAAACTTGGGAACTTTATGCTCTTTGACACTAAATAGGTGTCTCAAGAGGGGTTGTCAGAAAGATTTTAAGCCATTTCAGGAAGGCACAGGGAAGAAGAAAAAAAAAAACATTAAACATCGTAATTATTTCTTTAAAAACGCCGTCAATGGCATCTGGGAGACAGGCTGGCATGAATGTAGGAAATGGCCTAAAATAAAAATGCTCTAAAATTGGTGCGAGCCATCGAGTGATGTGCTGGAAGCACAGCCACAGAGGTACGGGGTGCTGCTTTTTAAACCTGCATGACACAGAAATCCTGGGTTTGCACACTCTTGGCTGGTAGTCCACCCTCCTCCAGACCTGTTGCTCCGTGGAAAATCATGGATCTGGTGGCTGAGGAGGCTGACTATTGATATCACAAACTCTGTGCAAATTGTGTGAGGAGTAAATTACACCTGGGCTGAAACCACCACCCGTCAACCAGGAGCAGAAAAGCCTAGCAGCAATTCCTCAGGGTGGAGGTGCTCCAGCTGCTCTGATTTATGGATTGGCATGGATGCCAACCTAGAATGACAGTCTTGGGGTGGCTGGATCCTTTCCTGAATCCCCTGGGGTTGTTGCTCAGCTCACAGCAATCCCACGGGTTCCCAGCACAGCTCAGGGTCAGAGGGGAGCAGCTTCAGTTGGAGATGATGAACATGGTAAAAAGCTGGGCTGTAAGGAGGGCAGGGACAGCCCCTGGCAGGTTGTGATTTTGGAAACAGCATCTTCCTGATGCAACTCAGGGTTTGGTGGGATTTACAGAGGAGCAGCCTCTGCCCACAGCATCTCCACATCTCACACCCCACTCCAAAAAAGGGAATTATTGTGTCCTGTGGTTCAGTCAACTCCATGTTTGGCAGTTTTGGGGGGTTGTCTCTTAATCCTTCGTTCCCAAACCAGGGGAAATCGTGTCTCTGAGCCTCAGACAGCCCAACTTTCTGGCTCTGCAGCAACAGTGCAAGGCACAAACTGCTCCCAAGGACATGGAGCACAGGGACGAGGATTTGGATCACAAACACATTTCAGGGGGACAGACTGCTGCACCAACAGTGGGATTTTTAGAAAAGACCAAACTGAGCAAAATAATTACAGACTTTTAACAAAGACTAAACGGACTTCTTACAGCAGAGGATGATTTTTCCTCACTGAAATCCTTGCAGGAAGTGCACTCTGCGCTCTATAAGCAATATACTGTAGGGACAGCCCAAGTCTAGACAATTTATTATTCACAACCACCACTCGGGAAATGCTGTTGCCATTAAGTTTTCAGGTCTTAATAACCAAACCAACCAGGGGGACTATTTGTTTCTCTCACCCCACAGCAGCACAGAGGCAGGGGAGTGGAAGATTTGTGATTCCTGTGCAGGGGGACGGGGAGGTTTGGGAGCAGGGAGGTGGGCAGGGTGCCTGGTTCACCATTCCCAATTGATGGAGCGAGCCCGCAGCTCCCGGGATTTCCCATTCACGCTGTTAAATGACAAAAGAAGTGTGCCTGGGAGGGTCCCTGGCCTGCGGCACCATCTGCACATCCTTCAAGGATCAGGCTTTAATCGCTGGGAGCTGCTTTAGCCCTTTGGAGGCCGGGCCATTGTGCTGCGGACAGCGTGGCGTTATTTCAAAGCGCTCATTTCATATTTCCAGGGCTGAAAATTGGGGCAGAGCTTCCCTCCCCTCTCCCCGTGGCCAGCATCCTCCTTCCTTCCCCTGCGGTGCTGGCAGGACCTGCTGGCCCTTCATCCCACTCCATCCCGGGGGGATCCACAAAATCCTGAGCTTCACTTCCCTCTGCAGGGATGGATTCAACCTTTTTTTTTTCCTTAGAGGTGTTTGAAAAATTTTTATTCTACTTTTAGTCTTATGCGAAGGGTGAGATACTACAGATGTTGTAATTTATGTTATTATAATATAATTTATAAAATAATAATAATAATTTATGTCATTCTAATTAGACGTCAATTATTTTTTATTAGTTCTAATTAGAAGTTAACAATTTTTATTTTTAATTACAATACACTATAAGCATTTCTTAGCCTATCAACGTTAACCACACCATACCACAAATACCTTAAAACTAATAATCTAAAATTACCCCTCATAAGTCCTACTACAATGCATCATTCATAATTCTATTTCTCTAAAATATCTAATCTTATTTACAAAACCATCCTTTAAAACTTATTTATAATTCAATTTCTCTCTCAACAATGTCTATCCTATTCTATAATATTTCTAAGTCAATATTTCCTATCTCAAAATTCACATACAAATACATACTATATAAACCTTCTACCAAATGTTAAGAATTTTCTACAAATCCATTTCCCACACATGCAGCCAGGGATAGCCCCAGCTCCAAGGAATAAAGCAGATTACAAGCTGACAAAATAATTCAGTGAGCTGATTTTGAATGGTGTTCAGTTACAGTTTCTGACAACCATCAAGACTTAAAATTGTTGTACCCTAAGTAATCCACCTAAACATAAAGTGCCTTTGGGATGGGAAGGGAATACACCTGGCTTCTGGAAATCCACGAGGATCCAGGCAGTGAAAAAGGCTTTAAAATCTTCAGGTTAATAATGGATTACAGGATCATCTTCTGCAGAATTACATCCTTTTATTCACCAGCCCCCTGTGTGACAGGAGACTTTTTGTACCCACGGACACAGGTTTGGCCAGGGGAGGGATGCTGAGGGCAGGAGGAACAGGCTGCCTGCCAGCTGTGAGTTTGGGAGCCCCAAATTGGGCAACTCCCTGGGGCTGTCCTGGCAGGGGAGACCCTCCTGGGGCAGTTCTGTGCCAGGAACCAGAGACCCTCCTGGGGCAGTTCTGTGTCAGGAACCAGAGACCCTCCTGGGCCAGTTCTGTGTCAGGAAAAGCAGACACAAATTGGACTTTTTCTGTCTTCAGCTTCTGTTTATTGTTACCTCATCAAAACTTCAGCACGCTGTCTGCACCAGACTCTGTGTGCAGGAAAACGGCACAAAAATGGCAACAACCTCTTGTTACAAGGCCTTTTAAGCCTAATCAAAAACTAAGCTACCTGATTAAGAAGTGACACCTAAATTATTTCCCTTTCTAGCCTAATAACTGACCCCTGAAGACCCACAATGCGGATTTTTCTGCCCAATTACAAGATACCACCCAAACCCAAGAAGAAAGAGGAAGAAAAAGAAAGAAGAAAGGAACTCAAGACAACACCCTATATCCTCCATCTTGTATCCATCTATAACACCCTAAAAATCCTAAAAGCTAAATTTCTCACCCATGTGACATACTGTCTACAATCTCTCCAATCTATTTCACACTTTTGTGGTTTCTAGTTTACCTTGGGACTTTGGAAGTTTTCTCCATGAATGAGGGTCAAAATCAGTGCTCCCCTGGGGGTCAGGACACCCCAGAGCAGAGAAATATTCCTGGTGCCCTGGGTTTCCACAGCCGGGGAAATCAGAGGTTTCCTGTCTGATTTTGAAAAGCAGACACAAGAAATAAGCAGGATTTTCATCAGTGTTGTAGTTGCAAGGAACAGGTGTTCAAAAACTGCATGAGGCCTCCCATGCCTGACTGACAGATCCTGAACATGACTGGGTTTGTACTGGGTTGTGCTGGAAGGGGGCAGCAGACCTGAGCTGGCAGCTTAAAACAGCCTGGGAAAAAAAAAAAAAATATTGCTACAAGGCAGTTCCAATCCAGGATCCTGCCTGGTCCTTTCTATTTCATTACAGAGGTGAGAAATCCCAAGACTGAGCAGAGTCACAGGAGGGCCTCACACCTGTGGTACATCCTGAAAATGGATAATATAGCAAAATAATAGTCAAGAATTGACTTTTCATTCCCTCTCAGTTGTCTGTAAACAGGAAATATATTTAAGTGGAGACTCAGGAACAGCGAGGCATTTACAAAGTGGCATGAAATTAAACAGGATATGTTTGGGAAAGACATCACAATCATGACATGTCACGGCTGCTGTAGGAAAACCCAGATTACCCAAACAAAAGCAAGGAAGAGCTCTGGGTATAACTTACAGAGGGACTTTAAACAATACAGAGGAAAATATTTCAAGCTAACTGTTTGAAGGGCTCTTCCCTCGATTTTAGTCCCTCGTTGCTTGAAAATTATCTGGTACTGTATTCATCTAAGCACGGTTTAATGTCAATGAAAGGGTTTAGTCCCTCTAATTCTGCATCTTTCCTTTTTCAACCTCTCTTTGAGGCATTATCTCTTCCTGGGATCAGTCTTCTGTGCTTAATTCCAACCCAGCCTGGGAAAAGGCAGCACATTGAGATGTCGACGTCCCCAACATCAGGCAGAAGCTGGATGATAATGACGGCCAACGCTTTCCCACGTTCCAAACCCCATTGTTTCCCCACTCCCCAGCCCACCTGCTCCTTTGGGAGCGGGGTATTATCCGCAGGCAATTCACAGGCAATTTGCCATGCTGTAATGGATGCTTTCCCATTGTCCCGGCACGCATGGATTGGCTGGCGGCTGTGGGAAACTCCGACTCGCTCCGGACCCAGACCTTTGTAAGGCAGCCTCTGGGTATAAATAGGGCAGATCCCGGCTGCATTCCTCACCCCGAGCTGAGCAGCCCTTGGGATAACGCTGCTCATCCCTGGTGGGATAACGCTGCCCATCCCTGGTGGGATAACGCTGCTCATCCCTGGTGGGATAACGCTGCTGATCCCTGGTGGGATAACGCTGCTCATCCCCGGTGGGATAACGCTGCTCATCCCTGGTGGGATAACGCTGCTCATCCCTGGTGGGATAACGCTGCCCATCCCCGGTGGGATAACGCTGCCCATCCCTGGTGGGATAACGCTGCTCATCCCCGGTGGGATAACGCTGCTCATCCCCGGCCATGAGGGAGCGCACAGTGAGTACCGAGGGCCGGGAAGGGCCGCGCCTCCGGGGCGGGGAGAGCTGGGGAGGAGGGGAAGCATCGCTGCTCCTTTCCTCACCTTCCCTTCTCTGTTCCAGCTCGGGAAGGCCGGATGGGATTTACAGCAGCTGGAACTGTCTGCAGGAGGGATTTCAGAGGCACCAGCCCAACTCCGAGCTGGGGAAAGGCGAAATCCTGGGGGGATGCTGTGAGCGAGCCGGGATGCGGGCGAGGTGAGCGCTGCCCATCACATCCCCCGTCCCTCTCCCTGCTTTTCCTTCGGGAAAAGCTCCAGCCGGCGCTTCCCCGTGTAACACTTCTCTCCTTTCTGCCCTTTTAGCCCCTGGCAGGATGATCCCGCCTGGCAGTGCCCCGGAGCGGCTCCGCAATTCCCGTCCCTCCGTTCCAGCGGAGCGGTCCCAGGTGGCACCGGGGGACTCTGCTCCTCCATCCTCAGCCTCCCCAAAACCACGCCAAAGCCTCGGCAGGCACTGGCACTCGAGCATCCCGGGATTTTGGGGCGTTTCCCGGATTCCAGAGGAGAACATGACTTGCCCTACAAGTAGGGGAGGATGTTTCCCCTTTGCAGGTCATTGCTCTGCTGGATCTGAGCTCCCCTTCTCGCAGGAGGACAGCAGCGATCCCACGGCGTGGAGAGGAAGCTTTTCTGGGGGATTTTCAGCTGTCTCCTCCTGCTGGGAGGGGTCTCTGGGCTGTTCTCAACCTCTGCGAGGTTGTCCCTGCAGCTGTAACCCCTGGGACGGTCAGAATTCCCAAAAGCCTTTTCCTCTGGGACCCCTCGGGGTCCCAGCGCATCCACACCTGGATTGTGTCTCACATTTGGGAATCCGACCTTCCCACGGTGCCACGAGGGGTTCTATACTATTTATAGTCTGTGCTGAGCACGCTCTGAGAATGGTTAAACCCTATCCCAAACAATGTAGAGGAAATTCCTCGGGATGTCTTGCTCACGAGCCAGGGCTGTTTGTGAGGTTCAGGATGCGTGTGTGCCTTTTGTAAAGGCAGGAGCTCATTTTTGTGTCCTTATAGGACTGAAAGTTACAGCTGTGCTGTCCATTATAAAAGAGATGTTTAGCAAAGTCTTTCATGAAAGGCAGATGTATAAATTATATTTATTTTTTGTACCCTTTTGCCAGGGGAAAATGGGAATTTGTTACTGTCCTTGGAGGATGTTATGGTGTGTTCTGTGCAAGCTGCACCAATGTATGACAGTTATCTTGAATATCAGAAGATGCAGAAACTTTTAAAGGCCAAAAATAAATAAAAATCTGCTTAATCAATCCAAAGTGAGTCTTTTCTTAAGTAGTTTTTACAGCTGGTTTCCTTGTGGTCAACTGACACGAGACAGATTCCAGTGAAAGCAGAGATATTCAGATTTGACACCAAATTCCCCAGTTCTGTGTCCATCGGGACCTCTGCAATGCTGTTTTCCATAGCTCAGGAATATCAAACTCCAGCTCTCTCAGTGTGAGGCAGAAATAACAGCACGCCCGAGCAGCCACTTCTCTGGGAATTCAGAGCCAGGGAAGGTAACTACAAGGCTAAAAAAAAATCATGGAATGGTTTGGTTGGGAGGGACCTTAAATATCACCTAATTCCAACCTCTTGTGACAGGCAGGGACACCAAACACAGAAAATACTTTTGATTAAGAGATAAAGTTTTCCAAGGCGCAATTCACATTCCTAGGGATGTGTCAGGTCCCAAAACACTTGGAAACATGTGCGGGGGGGGGGGGGTTAAATTCAGGGGTTTGGCTACAGGGGACACAGTGGGGCTCCTCCGTGGCTGTGTGAGTGTACCAGGGTCCAGGACACCCGTGAGCTACCGGGGATCCCCCCGCTGCCCCCGGGGGTCTCTCTGCCCTCCCCGGGGGTCTCTCTGCCCATTCCCCTCCATGTTTCACCGGGGTTTTCTGCCCTCCCCGGGGGTCTCTCTCTCCATCCCCCCGAAGTTCCTCCCCCAGGGTCTCATCCACCCCACCAGGGGTCTGTCCTTGTCCCCTCCCGAGGTTTCTGCCCCGGGGGTCTCTCCCTGTCCCCCCACGCTGCTCCCGAGGGTCTCTCCGCCCGTTCCCGCTCAGTTTTCCCCGGGGATCTCTCTGCCCTCCCCGGGGGTTTCTCTGCACAATCCTCTTCTCCGGGGTCTCACCGACCCCTCCCCGGGATGTTCCCCCCGTTCCCCCCCGTTCCCCCCCGTTCCCCCCCATTCCTCCCCCGTTCCCCCCGTTCCCCCCCGGTCTCTCCGTCCCCCTCAGCCGCGGACTCCCTCAGGCCCCGCCCCCGGTGGGCGTGGCCTGCGCGCTCTCCCCGCCCGATTCCCCGCGCCTCCGCTCGTTCGCATGCAGATTTATGCGCATACATTTGCATGCCGATGAGGCCGGGGTGAGGGAGGGAGCGGGTCGCGTTCAAAATGGCGGAGCGGGGCGGGCGCGGCAGCGGTCACGGCAGCCTGGACAAGAGCATCACCCTCCCGCCCGACGAGATCTTCCGAAACCTGGAGAACGCCAAGCGCTTTGCCATAGACATCGGTAACCGGGCGGGGGCAGCCTGCGGGGAGGGGGCGGCGGTGGGGAACGGGCGGCGGCTCCGGCCCCGCTGAGGGGGCCCGCCGGGGCCGGGCGCGCGCGGAGCACGCTGGGAAGCGTAGTCCCCCGCGAAGCGCGGGCCAGCGCGGGTGGGCGCGGGCTCACTACAGCTCCCAGCGCCTTGCGCGGTACGGGGGGCGGCGCGGGGCACGACGGGAGTTGTAGTCCCGCCGCCGGGTGCCGGCGCGGCGCGGGCGAGGAGAGGCACTACATGTCCCGGCGGGTCGCGCGCGGGTAACGGGCCGCGGGGAGCCGGGCGGGGCGGCCCAGCCGGGGCTGCCCTTGGCGGCCAAGGGGGGACGGAGGAGAGCCCGGGGGGCTCGGCCAGACCGGCCGGGGGCGGCGGTGCTGGGCGGTATCGGCTGCACCCCTCAGAGCGCGCCGGGCCCTGCCTCAGTGCGCCAGGCCCGAGTGCAGAGCCCCTCGGCCGCCCCCCGCCCAGGCCGCGGCCCGCGGGATGCTGCGGGCGCTCCTCCGGCTCCCGGAGCCGGCCTGGAATGAGCAAAAAGGGCCGGGCACGGCGGCTGTGGCACTGCCCGGGCAGGGCACGGCGGCTGCGGGGCTTGCCGTGTGCTGGGGTCTGTCACTGCTGCCTCAGTCCCCCCAGAAACACCCGCTGCGTACGCCCCAGCAGCCGACATCGCCCATTTCCCAGCCCCTGTCCAGGGTGACACACGCGTTCAGGGTGACACACACGTTCAGGGTGACACCCGGCAGGCTGACACATGTTCAGGGTGACACCTGCCCGCCACAGCCGGGAACTGTGCAGGGACAGGCTGAGCCTGTTCCCAGTTCCTCCCGTGCAGGGATCCTGTGGACACCCACCAAGCCACAAGTGCCATTCACGCGTTTTCCTTCCCTTTCGCGGCCTCGAGATCAGCGGAACTTCTTAGGAGGAAAGCCAGGGAAAAGAAAAGAAAAGCAAGCTGTTACTGCTGAGGAGAACACTGCTGTGTGTGCTGGACAGTGGGAAGAAAATCTGCACCATAACAGAAAATGTTGTGTCCCTTCAGCCCCTCAGGAGCTGCTGGTTGCACGCCTGTGAAAATAACAGCTGGAACTGGCCCTTTGTGCGGGTCAGCTCGGAATTAGAGTCCTGGGATTAGTTATAAAACCTAGTTACATGTCTCAGCTGCTGTTCTGAATGGATTTAAGTCTTTAAAAACTGGGAGAGGAAGGGGATAATGCACAAAGCGTGGCTCTGCATCCCGTGGGGCTGGTGGTGAATTCCTGCAGCACCTGTGCCATTGTCGGTGTAAAGAACATGACATTCCAAGCCTGAGCTTCAGTTTGGAGGTGTGGAGGGAAACTTTCCCACAAAAAACTGTGCAAGCCCTCACTTTTTAGCAGAACAGACTGTGGGTTCTGTTTACCAAAAACTTCAAAGCACTGACTGGGACACTGAAATCAGATCCAAGGTCAGGGAAGCTTTATCGCTTTTGTTCCTGTGTCTGTCTGTGGTCACTCTACATTGACCTCACTTAAATTTTCCTGGAGTAAACTGCCTGTTTTTTTTCCTACACGTTGCAAATATTTTCCTAACAAAAATATTTGAGCACTGTGGAAGAGCTGACAGTATCTTTCACCTCTGCTGCTTCATCTTCTGGTTTTTATTAGGCAGCAGAGTGCAGTGGCACTGAATTTAGCCATTCTTTAGGATCTGACACTGCCAGGTCTTTATTTACTTTCAGGACTTTAATATTAACCCAATAGTGGATCACAGTTACCCTCAGACCTGGAGCACTGTGGTGGAAAACATTGAAGTTATTCAGTGTACCCCAGAAATCCTGACTTTTGCAGGTCAGATGCAAAGACAGGGCAAGGAGTTGAATTTTGTTTCAAGGGGAGAGTTGAAATTTTTATTGCCATGAGCAGACTGGAGGCCTGAAGGGGGTGATGAGGCTGCTCTGCTCAGACTTGCACATTGCTAACAGCTCCAACTGCTGTGTGCTTGAGAAACATCACTCTGAGCATTCTTTACCCCAAAGCCAAGACCAGTCTTGCAAAGTAATTACTCACTTCAGAGGGTCATTTTCTAACCAGCCACGAGTTTGCAGACTTGTCCCTAAAAGCAGGGTGAGAATATTATTTAGGTGTTGCTGCTGAAACACTCTGTGCACATGGGGGGCATTGCTCAGTGGTGGCAAACCAGCTGGGAAAATCCTGGTACAGATTTGGGGGGTTCCATAAAGTTTCCAGACAAGGTGAATAACAGCAGTACATGTACTGGCCTGGCTGATTGAGAATTTCCTCTGCTCATCCTCATCCCACATCAGTCAGGCACAAACTGAATTTATGGAGTTTTCCCTCCTGTGATGCTCTGGGGGTTCACCAGGCCAAGCAGTTCCTCAGCAAAGGTTCTTTCTGCATTTCCATTAATTTTCACTGAGGAAACCTGGAGAACCAAGAGCTGACATAAACATAAGTTCTATTTGCTCCAAGGTGAGGCATTAATCATAACTTGTCATCTCTTTATGAACAGGTGGTTCATTAACCAAGTTGGCTTATTACTCAACTGTACAGCACAAAGTGGCAAGAGTGAGATCCTTTGATCATTCTGGAAAGGTGAGAATTCCACCAGGGATCAGCTGCCTGTGACTGACTCACAGGAGTGAAGCTCTGGACTGGGTAGAACAGAAATGGTATTCAAACCCATCTAATAACTTGTTCTACATAAAACTTTTTGGGAAGTGTTTGTATCGCCAGGTGCTGTTTGAAATACATATTTTTCCAGACAGTAAGTGTGATACTTTTGTAAAAAAACCCTGCTCCCGTGCAGACATAAGTTTCCTCATGCAGAGGGATTTCCTGCACAGTCAGCTGCATGGGAGAATTGATTATCTTAGCTTAGGGAGAATTAAGACCTGTGAAACTCTATTCTTATTTGACATAGCCTGAGGAGTTATGTTTAATGGCATTAACACAGTTTCAAGGGCAAGAAAAGCACAAGTGTTGATGCTCAGTAGTTCAGCATTTAACCTTGTTTCTGCAAGAATGTTTTCTAAGAAATCCTTCTCTCTTTTAAAGGACATAGACAATGAACCTTTGTATGAAATATCTGTTCAGGAGGAGATTACAGCTCGACTTCACTTCATTAAATTTGAAAACACTTACATTGAAACCTGCCTAGATTTCATCAAAGACCATCTTGTCAATACAGAGACAAAAGTCATCAAAGCCACAGGTGGTGGTGCATATAAATTCAAAGACCTTATTGAGAAGAAACTGGGGTTGAAGTAAGTGGAACTGCTTTTTCTTCTGTAAAGAATTAACTTCCACCTACTCCAAAAGCTTTTGTATTTTCCTGGGCATGCTCAGAGGTAATTCATGTGACAATCATTTATTGTACAGCTCCTACCTAAACTTCATGCAAAGGCTTGCAGGAGAACAGAGGGCAGCCCCAAAAATTTACTGTTTCAAGCACCATTATCAAACACCAAATACTAAAAACTTACACTGAAAGTTGCTTAGATGTCATCAAAGGCCATCTCATCAATCCAGAGACAAAAGCCACCAAAGCCACAGATGGTGGTGCCTATAAATTCACACCTTCTATGCTGTAAGTGTAGAAAAACATTAATTTGCCCCAATATTAAACATCACTGGGGAGAGCTTCAAGGCTCCTCTTGTGCTGTGATTTGTGTGGTAGATTCCTCAAGCCCTGAGGGCCTGTACTAATCTTTTACATTGTCCTTGCAAATTACTTATTTCTCCTGTGATAAGCTGGGCTCTGTTATCTCTTTATTTCACATCAGCCCCATTTAGTACCTTATTGGCTGTTACTAATGATCAATTGATCAAGATAAGGAGGCACTTTCCCCTCTTATCTCGTGTGGTGCACCTCGTTTTGGTTTTTATTTGGTTCTGACATACTCAGCTTTTCCCCGGCTCCAAACCAGAGCAGCTTCTCCACGGTGGAGCACACAAATAATTTTAGAGTATCTGAGATGAGTTTATGCCTTGTTTATGTGTTTCCAAAGAGCCCTCAGGATATTTCCTGTGAGAATTTCCATAAATCAGTAACAGTGCACACACAGCAGTTCACAGAAGTCAGTGTGTGTTAGCTGACTTATCAATCATCTTCTCTAAGTTTTGTATCCCTTTCCCAGACTCCACACTGGGGATATCCTGTTGAGAATCCTGCTACTCTTGTGGGAAGTCTCTTTTTCTGTTTGCTGATCCCAGCTGTAGGCTCCTCCCAGCCCCTTGAATCTGTCATGACCAAGTGCTGAAATGTCGAGGGGCCTTTTGTGCTTTATTAGGAGGCAGGGGAAGAGCAATAGACAATTATTCCATGTTGGGAAATTGTTTTCTGAGGTAAATTTCCAGCTAAGCTTCCTGACCTACATTGCAGGGGTGCACAGACCATGAAAGGAGCAGGGCAGGAAAAGAGCAGTGTAAACAAGCAAACAGGATTATTTTTAATGACAACATGATTAAAGTTACTGTGTAACAGAACTCCAGCCCGGAGTTCTGGCATGGGAGGGGAGCACCAGACCATGTGCAGAGGGAGGTTTCGTGTTTCCAGGGAGCTGGGCTTGTGCCACACAGTATGAAAATTCTGCAAAGTGCGTGCAACCTCCTGCTCCAAAAGCAAACTGCCTTATCAGGAGGGCTGGAACATTTATTTTAGGTTTTTTCCTCCCCCTCAGAGTTGATAAGGAAGATGTAATGACCTGCTTAATTAAGGGGTGCAACTTTGTGCTGAGGAACATCCCCCATGAAGTGTTTGCTTACCAGAAGGATTCAGACACAGAATTCCGGTTCCAGACAAACCACCCCAACATTTTCCCTTATTTGCTGGTGAACATTGGCTCAGGGGTCTCCATAGTGAAGGTGAGTGCTGGCCAAAATGCTTTGCTGGAGATTAGATAAAGGTGATCTGAAACCTCTCACTGGTTCAGATTTGTACTTGTTCTCTGGTAGTGCAAGGTTTAAAAAGAAAATTGTGCCCTTTTTAAAGTTTTATTTCTATTAATTGTAGAGTCATGAATGCTTTTCTATTCACTGTTTTTTTTAAAATTACATTTAGTTTGATGTTTAGAGAAATGATTACCTGATGAGGACAAAGGCTATCAGATCAAAGTGATTTTTGTTTGTTTTGTCACACTGTTGAAGAGACAAAGTTTAATGTCGACATTTAGCATTATTTGCCAAGATTTCCAAAGCTGCTTGTGGTGGATGTGCAATGTGCCCTTCTCATCTGCCACTTCCACAGTGGAAGGATTCCATCTCCACTGATTCCACTCTTCCAAGACCCTGCAGACTCTGACATTTAAATCTGTGTTCAGCATTACAAAAGGACTTTCTAAATAAATCCACCTTGTTTGATTCACAGGTAGAAACAGAAGACAAATTTGAATGGATTGGGGGCAGCTCAATTGGAGGTGGAACTTTCTGGGGTCTTGGAGCTCTGCTCACCAAAACAAAGGTACCCAAGTGTCTCTTTTAAGGGGGATGGGATTAAATTAAATGCTGGGAGGAAGCCTGACATGTTGGAATGTTAGGTAAGAAGGCTGAGTCCTGGACTTGTGTTCGTATTTTTGACACTTCTGATGCATAAAAGGAAGCTTTACATGGAAAAAGATACTGGTGGAATATAGGGAGAAGAATTAGAAGATGCTTATTGTGACCAAAAGCAATCCTGCTTGGGGCTCAAGGACAAGTGATGGACAAGAGCCTCCTCAAAGTGGCCTGGTAACTTTTAATTCTCTTTTCAGTTTAAAATGCCAGCCCAGTTCCTGCAATACTGTCTGCAGAAGAAAGCAGGGAGCACAGAATTGCTGCCAAATCTGGGAGCTGAGAGGAGAAATTTTGCCTCATGGTTGGTTCCTTGGTTGCCAACATGAGTTTAAATCCTGGGCTGATGAACAAGGCCTGACTTAGTCCTGCTCTGACATCATGCTGGGCTTCCCAAAGAGCCACGTGGCTTAAAGGAGTGTCCTAAATGTCAGCAGTGTAGGAAAAGGTAGAGTTACATATGCACCAGATAAGAAAATGTCCAAGTGGGGGCACAGCCTGGGCTGTGCTTTTTGTTTGGTGCTCCTAAAGAAGAAATCTTAGAACATGACAGTGCCTGCTCCTAATTCTCTCTTGGTTTTGTAAAGAAATTTAAGGTAACAGGGTCATAAATTAACTTTTGGGATAATGGAGCTCGCCTGCAAGTTTAATTTCAGGGACAGTAAAGGCACACGGAGACTTTTTTCTCACCCTTCTCTTTTATTGTGCTCTAGGAAGACAAAATTATGTTTGCTCTTAGTTCCTCTGTTTTTGACTTCCAAGATAAGGGATGCCATGAGGCCTCTGACTGTTTCAGATGTGCTAACTCACCCTGGTTTTCAGGGGAAATTCAACAAAATATCTGCAGCTAAGAAAGAGGTTGATTGTGGTGTTCATCTTTAAAGGAACTGCACTGAAGATCTGTCTGTTTGATCATCCTTGTAATTAGAAATAGTCTGTCTTTGGCTGGCAGGGTTGATTCTAAGACTGGTTTTGGTCAATAAAGATGCTGCAGACCTCTGAGTCAGGTCAGCTGTAGTAACTGTGCTTCTCACCATCAGAAATTTGATGAATTGCTGCAGCTGGCCTCAAAGGGCCAGCACACCAACGTGGACATGCTGGTGAAGGACGTGTATGGAGGTGCCTACCAGACCCTGGGGCTCAGTGGGAATCTCATTGCCAGCAGCTTTGGCAAGTCCACCACAGCAGACAAAGGTACTGGGATAAAAAAGATCTACCCAAACATCTCCTCTGGCTCTTGGGGATCAATTTTATACTGATCTAACAAGTAGAGCTGAAAATAATCAGCAGCTTCTTTCATGATCTTGTGTTTTGCCTGCACAATATTGATCTAAAATATTGTGCAGTACTGCTTTGTAAGCAGACATTTAAAATTTCAGTTTGGGATTGCCTAAGCTAAGGGAAGATTTAAAAGTAGCTGTCTGGTTAGCCTGGGGTTAATTCATTCCTGTGGGAAATGGATGTGGCTCTCTGGGCTCCAGAAAGGCCCTTTGGCAGTGATTTACTACAACTTGCAGTTTGTTTGCAGTATCTTAATGAAATACTTGCAGAGCATGTCAGGCCAAGAGGGATGGAGGAACCCTCACCTGTGGTTCCTAGAGAGAAGAAATGGCTCCTGCCATCCAGGAAGTGTTTTTTCAAGAAAAGTTTCACATAGGCTTAGTGGTTTTTTTTTTCCTGATATCTTTAAGCAAATCACACTCCTCCTTGTTAGAAGTACATTATATATGTGAGGGTTTTCTAGGGGTAACACTTTTCTTCTCCACACATAAGGAAAAATGCTCCAGCCCTGGATTTTTCTTTCCCCAACTGCAGGCTCAGTTAGAAAAGCACAGTCCACTGGAGCTTCCTCAGTTTGTGTGTAATTTGCTTTACTCTTCCTTGCCTTCCAGAGTTTTCCAAAGAAGATATGGCCAAAAGCTTGCTCCACATGATCAGCAATGACATTGGCCAGCTGGCCTGCCTCTATGCCAAACTGCACAACCTGGATAAAATCTATTTTGGGGGGTTTTTTATCCGGGGCCACCCCGTCACCATGCGCACAATCACCTACAGCATCAACTTCTTCTCCAAGGTAAGGAACACACAGGGTTCCCTGCAGCAAAGTCACATTTTAGGTATTTTTTTAGGCTGTTAATAAATTAATTTGCACATGAAGTAAGCTTAGAATGCTGCTCCTTAGGTAGATAAGGCAGGGATGTGTTGTGGGAGGGGTGAAATCAATGTGAAATGTCTGGGAGTTGTGTCTGGCCTTTTTTTCTCTCTCCCTACCTCCCTCTCTCTCTTTTTATTATTATTTTTTTGATTGACAGTCTGTCTTGTAGCTCCAAGTAATGAGTTTCCACTGTGTTCTTAGATAGTCACCATCATTATTCAATTCCTCTTGCTGATTTGCATCTTTCCACCCCCAGGCCATGCACTGTGGGGTTGTTCTGCTGAGACAGTTGGCATCAGTGGGGTTTTGTTACTAAAGAGAAAATCAAACCTCAAATCAATCAAGCTGAAGTTCTTTGCAGGTTTTGAAGCTGTGGAAAATACTGAAGATTTTTGACTAGGAAAAAAGGTCCAATCCACAAGCTTGTTAATGGTTATTACAGGTCGATTAGTCCTGCACTTGGGGAATTTTATAGAATAGGTTGCACCATTTTTTTCTCATATCAGTACTTCATGTAAGAGACTCCTGTGTGCTGCTTTTCCCCCTCTTTATTTCACCATTGTTGTCCCTTTCTGTAGAACTTGCTCAGTTCCAAGAAAGCTATTGCAAAACTGCAGCTTTAGGTTGTTGTAAGAGACACTTTGCCAGGGATTAAAATCCAAATTTCCCTGTGAGCTGGAGCTGCTGTTTCCCTGCAGCTCCCACAGTCAGTGCTGAATTCCTTGGAAAAGGCCACGTCTCATCCAGCCTGGGAAAGCTGAGGGGCCCTGCTGTGAGGATGGAGGGCTCTCCCCCCTGCATTCCTGTATTTTGCATTAGTAATTGAATTCTTTGGATGGGGGAATGCTTGCCTGTGGGTAATGCCCGGTGTCTGTGTGGAGTTGAAGAGCAGTGCAATAAAATAAAGACAATGAGCAGTGTCCCAAAGGCGTTGGCTGCAGTGGCACACACCCGCCTTGGCAATCACACCACCTTGCATTTCCAGCCTGTTGAAGCAAGAGGAGTTGAATATTCATGGAATGATGCAGTGGTGTTTTCCAGGCAAGGCCAGAGAGCACACACCACTGGTGCATGGGTGTTTTCCAGCTGTGTGATAACTGGGGAATGATGTGTGTGAGCAGTTCCTGCCTGAGCTGTTCCAGAAGCACCATTAAAGTTGCTGAATGTGTGAGAATGTAGCACAAATGACTATTGCCGTCTTCTAGTTGTTTCTATTAAATTAAAGTGTGAAACTAGTGACAAAGAAGTGCCTGTTAGCCCTCAGGGACCATCCAATTGCAATGTTTCATATTGTGGCAGGGAGAGGTTCAGGCATTGTTCCTGAGACATGAAGGCTACCTGGGAGCCATTGGGGCATTTTTAAAAGGAGCTGAACAAGACAGTAAGTACAGCACTGCTCTGTTCTGTATATGCTGTGTTCTGAAATGTCAGTGTACTGTCCAAGTTTCTCTTAAGAGGCTGCATGTAAGCTGTTGCCTAAATCAATCCATTTGGCACTAATAAACACAGATGCTGGGCTTTGGTTTTATACATTCTGGCAGGGACATCTTAATTTCTCACTGGATTTGCTGCTCACCCTTGGGAAGGCAGCAGGACTGGCCTCTTCTCTGCACTTCTACAAAGAACAGTCACAGCTCTAAATCCAGCTGGACAAATGTGGGTTTGGAGGACATCCCCCTCTTTAAGAGGCCACTTCTGAATTCCTTTAATGTGCTGAGGAAGACCAGCATCTCCAAACTGTTTGTTTGAGAGTGAAAAGCCTCACAGAGGAGACCCTTCTGTCCAGATCCCTTGGATCCAGGGTGCTTTGGTGGAATTCTGCCTGTTTAGTTTTCCTTTTCCCTGTTGGTGTACTGGCAAGCCAGGCAGAACATTGGTTACAGTGGCACAACCACAGGCTGCTAATGGTACTTAGCTCAGTAAGTATCAAATTCACCTCTGAAAAATGGGTGTGGAATTATTTTCCTGCCCGTTTGTTAGAGATGGGCAAGGAACCAGCTACTGAGGAATTAAAGACATTGCTTCTGCAGCATGTACTGTACATCTGAGCTCATTAAACTTTTCTCAAATAAAGCAAATCTAGAAATAACTTTAGTGTTTCTCTGAAGCTTACATTGTGCTTTGAGAGTTCTGTAATATTATTTTGTTAATAATGGATCTAGAGTTAGAAATAAGAAATGCTCAATGATAGTGCTTTGGAGGCATGCTGATTAATGACAAGGAAATGGGGTTAAAAATAATGATTTTAGAACTTAAATTTTCTCTTGTCTCACTCAGGTTGAAGCTCTTTGGAGCAGGTAATTCATTGAATGGTTGTAATATCTCTTTTGGGGGTTAGAGGGAAAAAATCTGTTTGCTTTTAAAGACAAGGGGAGCTGGCTTGTGTAGTGCAGCAGCTGCTCAGAGGGATGCTGGCTCTAGACTCACTCACAGGAGTATTCTCAGTTTTATTTTCAGATTATGTGTGTCTGTGTCTTTCTCTTTTCTAGATCCAAACCAGTACAGCTGGGGAGAGAATTATGCTGGGAGTTCTGGGCTAATGAGCACATCCCCTGATGTTTACCCCATGCAGAGGACACGGAGTGGTACAGTATGTGCTGTCTTTCCTAGAGCTGTGTGTGTTCTCTTAGCAGTGGTGACCTGGACAGAGGTGATTATTCTCCAGCTGGTGGCTTCTTGCCTCTGAGGCTCCTGCTTCCCAGAGGAGTGACCAGTCTGGTGCCTGGTGTGGTGTTGTCTCGTGTCCTGGGTGCTGTTGGATGGACTGTTTCATAAAACAGACTGGCTGCTACTTTGTCTTGCTCTCCTTCACCAAAGCCGGGGGAATGTTTGTCTCTCACCCTTTCTCTGGAGCAGCTGTTTTTTGCTGCAGCTGAAATATCTTAGAATTTGGAATTTCATGTTCAACCATCTTGAAGCAGTGTTTATTTGCTTCCTATGAGAAGAAAAATACAAGATTGGACAGAAGAGCACAAGCCCAGTCATCTCTTAAAGTCACTGACAGTACAGCAGTTCCGATTCCACAGTGGATTATTTTCACACTGGACAATTCTGTCAATTGGGTGGGCATGGATAAAATAATCCACAGAGGGGACTGGATTATTTATAATGACGTATAATTGTCTGCAAATCTATCAGTCTTAGTGGCTGGACTTCTGCAGCCCTTGTGCTAATTTAATTCATGGTGAATTAATTTCTGAGTGAGTTCTAATCCATCTCTTTCCTTTCTCCCCTAGTTTGACATGCTGGAAATGGACAGATTGGAGAGACCACTTGTTAACCTGCCACTGCTGAAAGACCCCTCCACCTATATCCCAGACACTGTTGACCTCACAGATGATGCCATGGCCAGAAAATACTGGCTCACCTGCTTTGAGGAGGCACTGGATGGGGTAAGTGTCACAGAACAGTTTTGTCTGAGTGACACAGGTACTTAGGAAGCAAATCTTCTGTGGAGCAGCATGTTTGTCCTGTAAAATATTCCTGCTGGGTCACCCCTCTGGAAGTGCAGCCCCTGTTTCCCTGTAACCTGACATTGTCCCAGTCTCTTAAGGAAGGGCTTGGTCCCTTCAAAGGCAGAAATGTTCTTTTATGGTGCTTTTTTTTTTTTTTTTTTTTTTCTTTTAGCTCCTGAAAGGTGTTTTCAAAGCATTTTCTCTCTTTAATGGCACTTGGACCTCTCTGTACAGAGCTGCAAGCAGGACAGTTACACAACCAAAGGCCAGAAACCCTTGGGTTGTTCCTCCTCTGGGAGCAGTCCTGCTGCCTCACAGACACTTTTCCATAGGAAGAGCACAATTGGACCAGACACAAATTATTTTTATCTGCACTGGAGCCGATTCAGGCAGTTCACTGGAGTAAACAAAAAGAGAACACAAGGGGTCAATGTGCACCATTAAATTTCTGCCTGTTTCTCCTTTAGTGGATGCAGTGTTATTTTTTTCCCCACCTCTAAGTAGTTAGAACTTGTGTTTAATTTCTGACAGTACAGTCTGGAAAAGAAACTTTAAGTCTCTTGGGATGAAAAGAGACATTAAAATTGTTGTTTAGTGTTTGGAATGAAGGGAGGCTGGGAGGTGCTGTGTGGGAGGGAGCAGCCAGGCTGCAGGCACAGAACAGGGAGGCAGATGGAGGGGTTATTGCTCAGACTGAACCTCACATCAGTTACTAGGAGGAGGAGTTCATTTGGTTACTGCAGTGTTGCCTCTTTTCTCTGCCAGGTGGCAAAGCGAGCTGCAGCCAGCCAGCCAGACTCTGTGGATGCACAGGAGAGAGCTGAGAAATTCCGGCAGAAATACTGGAATAAGCTCCAGACACTCAGGCAGCAGCCCTTGTAAGTGGTTTTATTTTCCCTTTTGCATCACTTGCTGCTTCTGTTGAGAAGTGAAAGCCCACCAAAAGCTAACCAGGTTGTGAAGCAGAGCAAACAAAGCCAAGTAGGCTGAAGACTCAGGCAAGGTTGTGTGCCAAACATCAGATCCTCTGCATAGAGATTTTGGGTTTCATGTCTTGGAGTTGAGGAGAGCAATTCTATCTTGGCAGAAAATTGGTTATTAAAAATCTGTACATGGTTATTAAAAATAGCAGCAAGTTAATTCTGAACATTCTTCCTCCGTGTATTTAAATAATCTTATTGTAGATTTAACATTATAGAATCTACAACAAATAATCTTAATTGTAGATTCTTATTGTAGTTCAGTAATCTTACTTAGAGGCAGGGTCTAGCACCTGTGACTTTCAGCTTCAGTGCTCATGTGAGGGGCTGTGACTTACAGAGGAAACAGAGGGAAAATAGCTTTTTTTCTGTTTGAAGTAATGGATTTGTTTTTTCCCCCTTCTCCCTTTTTAAAGTGCATATGGTACCTTAACAGTCAGAAGTCTCTTGGACACAAGGGAACACTGCTTGAACGAGTTCAGTTTTCCAGATCCCTATTCCAAGGTGAGTTCAAGACACTTTTCCAGTCCTCTGAAACTGTTCAAGTGATGGATGGCTCAGAGGGGAGAGATCAGGAACCAGTTCCTGCACTGGCTGTGGGCAGCTGGGGAAGGAGAAACAGCACTGGGGAATAGGACAGAAACCCCTTCCCCTGAGCAGCCTCCTGGTGAGGATAATGGTAACCAAAAATATCCCAGCTTCAGTTGCCTGACAGCCCTGAGAAGCTGTCTTGGTGCCAGCCCTGCTCCTGAGCTGCGTGTGGTGGCTGTCACCAGACACTGTCACCAGTGTCACTGCTCTAATTCACTCCTCTGAGGCTGCTTTGTCACTGGTGAGATTCTCAGCACTGGCTTGGAGTGGACACAATGCACAACCTCCTGTTCTTAAAAACATTCATTGCCACTGTGCAGCTGTTTCCTCTCTGCGTTTTGTTCTGTGATATGAAATGTTTGGGGAGAGGAGATTTGAGTCATTATTTCTCAAAAATTAACTTTCTGTATGTCCATTCCTCATCACTTGTTTGTGTGACATATAAATAACAGCAGTGCTAGTGGCTGATCTAAGACTCTTTTCCTGACTGTTGACATATTTCTGCAAAATACAGAGAAAGTTCTCCCTGGCTGCACTGTCATGTGGTACCTTCACTCTGAGAAAGGACTAAAACACACGTGAGGTTGCTTTTACTTATTTTTGCTTCTTGTAATTCAGACAAGTTTACTGCCAAGACAAAATATTGGTACCCAGAATAATTTTAAATTTTTAAAGAGAACTCCCCCTGTAACTGTGATATCACTGGAGACAGAGAAGAGAAAAAAACCTGAGAGCTGATGAGAATTTTGGACGATGCAAAGAAAAAACAAACAAACAAACAAAAAAACACCCTTCAGATTTTGTGGGACTGCTGGTGGTGGTTTCCTGGGGTTGATGCATCATGTTACTGCTACAAGGTTTTTGTATGTTCACTCTTCCATTTGCCATCTTGCCCAGGTGGCATTTCCCAATCTGCTCAAGATCTATTGCACCTCTAACTTGCTAAGAAAAGTAATTATTGGGCTGTGGATCATATCCTGGCACTCATGACACTTCTTGGGAGAATCCAGGGAGGTTTTTCCTTGATCCTAAGCACACTGATCAATAATTGTTTGGTCCTTGAGAGGCCATGAACACAGAGGAGATGCTTGAACGTGGCCTTGGGACTGAGACAGCCAAAGCAGGGTGAGAAATGTTGGTCTGTAAATCCAGTGTTTCCTGTCTGTCTTACAGGTAAAGCAGAAAGAAAATGGAATAGCCTTAAAGTGTTTCCAGAGTGTGATCGAGTCCCTGGATTCCCTGGGCTGGGAGGAGAGGCAGTTTGCACTGGTGAAAGGACTTCTGGCAGGGAATGTCTTTGACTGGGGAGCAAAGGCAGTCTCAGAGTAGGTGTTACATCCTTTAACAGCATGCTTTAAGCTACAGAATGTCCAGTTGTGGGTTTTTTCCTAAAACATGAAGTTCTTCAATCTCCCCATCAGCCTTTGTACAGCACTGGTACATCTTACAGCTGGTTTAAGTCATTACATTCCATGGTGCTGTGCAGACCCAAAAATGTCTTTTATGCCTGTAGCCTACTGCCTGCAAACATCTATACATTGTGAGGCTGTTTTCTTATAGCATCAGAACTCTGATTTAATGTCCTGATGAGCTTTTTGTTTTTAACATGATCACAAAATACATTTCCCAGTCCTGGGTCCCACAGGCACCCCCAGTATAAGCAGTGCAGTAAAATTGCTGGGCACCAGCTAAAGAAATGTTTGAATTCCAGTGGTGTGAGATGGAGGTGTTGAACTGTGCCCTTTGTCTCTCTCCTGTCCCAGTGTTCTGGAGTCTGAGCCACAGTTTGGGTTTGAAGAAGCCAAGTCAAAGCTCCAAGGTAAGGGGAGATCCCTGCTGGTGGTTGGATGTTCATGAGGGAATGGAGTGGGAATGTTTGTGGGGGTTCTGCTACCCAGATGACAAAGAATCATTAGGGCTTGTTAGGGTTAATTAAAGGAATTAAACCTGCAGACTGTCTCCTTAAACACAGAGATGGTCACTCACTGTTGTGTCCCTGCCTGGGAACAGTGTCCTGGGGGGTCCACACCCAGCTCACACCACTCCAGAGCCTGAGTGTGAAAATCCACTTCGGGCCTACTCTTGTGGAGCCATTCCCATAACAGAGAGCTCTCAGCCTACACACTGAACATTCTAAACTTCAGTGAGTGCAGCGTGAACCTCCTGCCTGTACCATGTGCAGAATGACTGCTGATAAGAGTTAGTGGCTGCTGATAAGAAATGCTGACACTGCTCTGTCTGTGCCACAGAACGTCCCTGGTTGGAAGATTCCTACAGCCAGTGGCTGGAGCGACTGAAGGTACGACCCTGGGTGGCCTTAAACCCACTAATTAACCACCTTATTCATCAAACACCTTGGTAATCACGGGGTTTGAACAGAATTCTGTTCAGACAGCCCAAAACAAATCTCTAATTCACCATAAAGAAAGGAGTAAAGGAATTAGTTTAAAACTTGGTTACTTCCCAAGCTGTTTCCCTGAATTCCCACTGGAGCCCAGCTGCTCCAGAGCCTCCCCTCCTTATCAGGGCTCTTATTTCCACACACCCAGACCCCTGAAGTTAAGAACCTGAGGCCAAATGTAGTGTTTGAGTAGTTCCTGCCCGTGAATAGCCAACCTAAAACTGGCATTAATGTAAGAGCTTGCTGGAAGTAATGAACTTACCAATTAGTAAAGTTGTTGTTTTTTTTTTTTCCCCCATGTGATCTCTTTCATCATTTAATTAAGATTAATTAAAAAGCTTTTGTGTCTTTGTGTAAATCTCTCTGTTGAAAATGGCAGCCTAAAGGTTGGGGATGAGCAGACTATGACAAATCATTACATGCTCCATCCTAAAACAAAGCACCAGCTAATCTTGTGTAACAGGGATAATTAGGGAGCAACAGGCACTGTCCTGTCAGTTTTTATTAAAAATTAAGCATTTTTCAGTTCTTCTGCTGGTATGAACTGGAGTGAACTAAGTTTCATAACACCAGGTTGAGAACAAATGAAGAGGTTAATGGAGAATAGGCACTATCTTTTCGTTTTAGGATGTCACTGCCCCCACAGTCCATGCTGCCCTTTCCTGGCAGAAGGGAATCCTGTTCAGCCAGCACCAGGCTGGCTTAAAACACCCTCCAAGGTAGGTGCAGCTGGCACCAGCGCGTTCAGGATCACAGCCTGACTCTGGAGTTAGCAGGTGGAGGTTTTATTGCTGGAGGTTGAGAGCCCTGTCTCAAACACAGCACAGGAACTTGAGGGATGTTTTAAAACAGGAACTGTTTTAAAGCCCTGTGCAAAGACTCCATCAGGGAGCCCCATTCCTCCTGTTTGTCACTGGTGTGTGCTGGGAGTTTGCTGCAATCCAGACCCAAAGGCTGAAATGTTTGAGGGAATAAAATGTGGGGGTTTGGAGGAGTAGCTGTGAATAACAAACTTCCCTGAGGTGAGTGGTGCTCCATCCTGAATGCATTGGTTTTCTCTTGCAGGAGGGTCCCCCTCATAAATGTGCCTTAATTTTCGCAGATAACAGTGGGATAGACATAATTTTAGGAGTCTTTCCTTTTGTCCGAGAGCTCCTTTCTAGAGGGACAGAGGTGAGTGGTTCTCCTTGCCAGTTCCTATGGAGTTTTGGTAACTGCTGGAAGGTGTCACTGCCCACCAGCAGGACACTTCTCTGCCAAACTGGGAATAATCCAAGCACCTGGAATGCCAGAGCCTGACTGTGTGACCTCTCCTGGCACCTTTCCCCAGGTGATTTTGGCCTGTAACTCTGGCCCTGCCCTCAACGACGTCACCTACAGCGAGTCCCTGATCGTGACCGAGCGCATCGCGGCCATGGACCCTGTGATCCAGTAAGCACAGCTCTGCCACTCCTCCCTGGGGACAGCAGGTCCTGGGCCCAGCCTGGCTTTGCACTTCACTGTTCATCTCCAACTGCAGCCTCAGCCCAAGGCAGAGCATTTGTTTTCATTGAAGTGAAGAATTTAGAAATTGGGTCTTTCTGGCACGCCCATATTTATATTTCTTGTTGTGTCTTCCCTGACAAGCACTCCAGCTGCTCTGCCAGGAATTTTCTATGTTAATAGAGACAAATCCATGTATGTCACACACAGAGTGTCCCCAGGAGAGGATGTTCAAGGAAACATTGTGTTTCCTGGTGAAGTCCCTGCAGCAAAGGAAACCTTTGTAAAAGAGGGTTTGATATTCCTGCTTCTCTGGCTTATTCCCAGATGTGCAAGGCCCTGCTGAAGCAGCTGTTTAATGTTTTTGTCTTTTTAAACAGCTCTGCACTGAGGGATGAGAAGCTGCTGTTGGTTCAGACGGGCTCCAGTTCTCCGTGCCTGGATCTGAGGTACGTGGGCAGAGTGCCACTGTGTGGTTTGTGTCCCTCAGCTGCAGGATGGTCAAAGGTTTGCCTGTGGAGCATCCCAGCCACCCTTCCCACTGGGAATCAGGTCTGCACACCCATTAGGAGGTGCTTAGTGTGGATTTAGAGAGCTGTGATACTGCTCAGGCCTGACAGCTTTTGGCCCTGGGTGAGGTGTCTGAGTTCAGGACACAGCTGGGTGAGGAGCTGTGGTTATGGCTGATGTCAGATCAGTTCCTCTATTGGAGACAGCACTTACCTGTGTCAAACTCCCAAGCTGGCTGCATTTCAACAACATTTGGATCGATCCCCTTGGCTTTCAGGTGCCGCTGTTTGTGGGCACATGTAACTCCATGTGGAATCCCAGCGGGCAGCTCTGGGCAGCTCTGAGGGGGGCAGCTGCAGGTGTGGCTGCAGATGGAGCCGAGATGCAGCTGAAGTGTGGCCGCGGTGGTGGCCAAGGGGTGGCCGCAGTGGTGGCCAAGGGATGGCCGCAGTGGTAGCCAGGGGTGACCAAGGGTGGCCTTAGGGGTGGCCGCAGTGGCCGCTCTGACCGCGCTCTGTTGCAGCCGCCTGGACCAGGGCCTGGCCGTGCTGGTGCGGGAGCGGCAGACGGACCTGGTGGTCATCGAGGGCATGGGCAGGGCCATCCACACCAACTACTACGCCGTGCTCAGGTGTGAGAGCCTCAAGCTGGCCGTCATCAAGAATTCATGGCTCGCCGACCGCCTCGGGGGCAAAATCTTCAGCGTCATCTTCAAGTACGAAGTGCCCTGTAAATGATGGAGCTGGCACGGCCGATGGACTTGCACTAGTTTTACTTTAACTGTAAAGAATGTATTTTTATTACAACAGGGACAAGAGTTCACAGGAAATTCCGTATTTATATTGTGCTTTTGTGACTTAAAAAAGCGACAATATGATTCACTCTATAGTCTACACACTCAAATATATATATGTATATCACTCATTGTTTATTTTGGTAAGTGTTTATTTTAATGCTGCAGTATTTGTGATGAAAAGACTTTATTTTTTTGTTCTGTGAGACATTCATATAGAAATATATTTAAATGTCAATGAAACCTTTTTTATACATCTCTGCCTACTCTGCCAGCAGTGACATAGCACATACCAAATAGTTTTTGACTGCTAAGTGAACCTGACGTTGCATTTTCTGATGTTGTATTTTCAGCTTTTAGACTTACCCAAAGCTGTCCTGCTCTGTGCAGCTCAGCTGATGGAAGGGCTGATCCACCTTCTCACCCCACAAATGTTGCTCAGGCTGTGACTGAGCCAGGGCTGTTGCAGTCTGAGTTAAGGACCAGCCCTGGTTTCCCAACACCTGGAATTTCTAACCCCTTGTTTGTTCCTATTAGGAGGGCCGAGGGAGGAAGTCCTGCAGCTGCACTGAATTCCTTCAACAGCAGCTGGAAGCTGAGTCTCACTGAGTTCCCCTCCCAGGGAGGGTGCAGTGCTGGATTCAGGATCACCCAGAACCTCCCTGAGCCTGAGCCCCCTTGGTTTCTGTTGCCCTCAGTTCTCCCTGCTGGGACTGACAAGGATGGGTGTCTCTGTTCCTGCAATGCAGTTACAGCCATTCTCAAGGAGCCCAATTTGCTTTTTCCCTCCTTCAGCTGTGCAGTTCATAAATGGAGTGATTTCACCACCAATTTGCCCTAAGACTTAAATGCCTCAGTCATCCCAGCTCTGAAAGGGAAAACAGCTTCATGAGGAAAGTGTTTAACATGCAGCTGAGACAACTGTTCCCCTGAACTTCAGCATTGTTTGAGAGCAGGAGAGTGATGCAAAACACCCTCACATCTCCCCTTGCAGGGAGCAGGGGCTGTGCTGTGTTTGACTCATCCCCACACCCCTGCTCTGGTACTGATGGAGTTCCACTGTCAATCCACAATTCTTGGGACACGAGAACAAAACATTCTCTGTCACCCCACAGTGGCCCTTATCCTGTGATGGGAAGGGATAAAGGACAAGCCCTGCCTGGCATTTCTTAGCTCCAGTGGTTCCTTGGTGGCAGAGGCTCCCTTTTTGGAGTGCAGGGAGGGCCTGTTTGGGGTTGCAGAGCAGCACTGTCAGTTCTGATTCAGGAATTCAGGAATTCCCAGGGACCAGCACCTCCTGCTCAGGCAGGGCAGGGTGAGGCTGTTTATAGCTACAATGCTTAAGCTGCTGCTCCTGATTACAACAGGCAGACAAGAGCTTTAATGTTCCACAACTGTTCCTCACACAGGAATTAGTAGCAGAGGCTTCACATTAACCTGTCCCCAGTCACTTCCTCCTACAGGCCATCGTGGACTTACAGGGTGAACTTCAAACCTAAACATGGATCCACCATCCTGGCCAGCTCAGCTCCAGTTTATCCACTTGTCACAGTTCCACTCTCCCCCTTATCAATTTAAATTCTTCCAAGCCACTTAATTCCCTTGTGTCTGCAGCTCCACTACCACTCCAGAAGTGCTCTGTGTGTGTTTAATTAGCAACCTAACACTCTAGACTAGCAGAAAAACATCTTCCTACACTGATACAGCTCCTAGGATGTGGTACAACCCTAACACAGCAAAAACTCCTCAAGCATTTGCCTTCCCTGATGTGTCCTGGCTTTGTCTGGCGGCTCCTTTTATGCGTAGACGAGTGCAGATTTCTTCTGTGAAAACAGAGCAACAAGATTTCTGAAAGAGAAGGGGGGAGAGAAGGCTGTGGGTGGGTTGTTCTGCGGATCCATCTTTTCCACTGCACTTTGGGAGGGCTGCAGAGCAGGAGCACCAAGGGGCACACTGGGACACTGGTGCAGTTTCACTGTGTGTTTTCCTTGTCTGATGCTTAAAGAACAGCCACCAGTGGGAATGAACTTGTTAAGGATCATTTACTGTCCTTTCCAACACCCAGGGCAGTGGAATCCAGTTTGGCTGCCTTGGCAGTTCAGGGAATGTAAATTTTTTTTTTTTTGGAGCTGGGGGGAAGGGGTGCTAGAATATTTTTGCTGTTCAGGCTACAAACCCATCCCACAGCCCAAACTGTGAAATCTTGCCACTTTTAAGGAGTAAATGCACAGCTTCCTCTCAGCCTTGCCCCACTGCACAGCTTTCCTTAGAAAACCAAGGTCAGGGTGGAAATGCTGGGGCCTGGCTGGTGCAGGAGGGACACGGGGAGGCAGGACAGGAGCTGGGACACACCTTGATGGAAGGAGGGACACGGGGAGGCAGGACAAGGTGCAAGGGCCACCTGGGTGGGAGGAGGGACATGGGGAGGCAGGACAGGAGCTGGAGCAGGAGCCAGGGCCCACCTTGGGGGAAGGAGGGACACGGGGCAGGACAGGGGCAGGAGCCAGGGCCCACCTTGGGGGAAGGAGGGACAGGGAGCAGGAGCCAGGGCCCACCTTGGAGGAAGGAGGGACACGGGGCAGGACAGGAGCAGGAGCCAGGGCCCACCTTGGCATGCGCGGCGGCGCGGCGGCTGCTGCTGGAGAGCTCGGCCAGGGCGGCGAGGATGCCGAGGGCGAGGCCGATGCCCAGCGTGAGGAAGAGCCCCCCCAGCGCCGGCGGCTCCAGGGGCCCCCAGCGCTCGCGGCTCTGGCGCAGGCAGCTGCTCTCCCACCACTTGTTCCGCAGGTAGTCCAGGTCGCCCGACTCGCGCAGCTTGAGCACGGCAATGGACAGGGGCTTGGTCCAGGGGGATGCTGGGCAGTGGGAGAGGAGAGAGAGGAGGATGGGAGAGCTCCCAGTGTTTAGTTAAACATGGATAGAGGGGTCAGAGGTGTCACTGAACACAACCCCGCCTGCCAGAGGCTTTTCCTGGCTAACAACGATCCTGCCCTGGCCAGAGCGGTGGTTACACCAGGGGGATAAAGGTGCTTTGGGAAGAACATGAGCAGACTGTCCCCTGCTCACTGCATTAGGGATCTGCATCCCTGGGGACACCAGGAGATGGAATATTTGCAGATCAGAGTTCAAAGTGAGAGCCAGCATTAATTCCCCGCAGAGCAGTGCCCCTGTTTTCAGTCTGTCACCCTGACAGCAGCGTTGGCTCTGGCCCGTTGCTCCTGCTGTTCTCCCAGGAAGGAGTGGGGAGCACAGGGACGGGGGCTCACCCTGGGTGGTGGCGATGCCGAAGCCGCGGGCCCCGATGACCTCGGGGGCCCGGATGAGGTTGCAGTGCCGGGCGGCCGCCAGGTCCTGCGAGATGGACTCGCCGATGAAGGCGTAGTTGGAGTCCATCACGCGCTGCACGGCCTCCTGGTAGGTCTTGACCAGAACGTGCTCCCGCCTCTTCTCCATGTACTCATAGATCATCTGGTGGATGGGGTTCTTGGAGTTCTGCAGCCCAAAAATCCAAGACACAAACTCAAGGGTGAGGCAACCATCCAAAAAAAAAAAAAAAAATCCGCCTGTATGTGCAAGGGTTGTAAAACAGTTTGGAGAAGAAGAGCACTTAAACCATGTGTGAGCCCCTGCAAGCACAGATTGTCCCCAGCACTGGGGACAGGCATCACACAGGGGTACAAGTGTCACAGATGGCACCTGCTGCCCGAGGTACACAATGGCAACCCCCGAAGAACAGAGAGATTTTTAAAGGAGAATTCAGAATAAAAATAAGAGTTCTGTGCCTGCTTTCCTGTGAGAAGAGGTGGAGGAAGGGCTGAACAGAACAATAATCGTATTATTTGAAGTATTCCAGGAAATCTGAGGGAGTCAACAGTGACGAGGATGTTGTAGGGATTATAAGGCCTGAGCTGTGGGAGCTCAGCAGTCCTACAGCCCCCCTGTGTGTGGCACAACGAGATTCTCTGCACCTTGAAGTAGTAGAAAGTCGAGGAGCCCTCCAGTGTCCCAAACTCCAGATTCCTTTGCTTGACTAGGTCCTCGAAGGTCTGGATGGGGAGCTGCTCGCTGCCGGAGCTCAGCAGGGCCGTGAAGTTGGCGATGTAGGCGGCCAGCAGGGCCAGGGTGAAGAGCCACCAGACCACAGCAATGACCCTCACTGAGAGTGCCTGGGGCCGGGGGGTGGCACCTGCACCACAGGGAGCCAATAAATCACCACAGATCATATGGGAGGGGATCACACGGGGGCAGAGACACACCAAGAGCGGCAGATCCAGCAGCCTGAGTTACAGAGACTTCCCTTTGGATAAAGGCAAACTGCAGACCTGCCCTGCAATGACGCAGAGCCTGAGCCCGGAGGGCCCCACTGTGCTGGTCTGAGCAGCAGCAGCGCTGCAGGGCAGGGCTGGAGCAGCAGCAGTGGCACAAAGCTGCAGAACAACTCCTCTGTACAGAGCAATCCTGCCATGCTCAGCTGGGCATTGCCCCGAGCAGTGGTTGCCCAGAGCAGAAAATATTCCCCAGCCAGAGTCAATCACCAAGCCCAGCAGGTCTGTACTCACACCTTCCCAAACTGGTTTTGTGCTCCAAGTGTCCCTACTGAGACATCTTTTCACCAGAGTGTCACAGAAGGAGCTGGGTGCACCATCATCCTAAAAACCCCACTGCTCCCAGAGCTGCTCTGGTGCATCCCCCCAGCTCACCTTGCAGGGCCAGTGCTCCTGCTCCAAACCAGAGGCTGTTCAGGAAGGTGAAGTGGTTCTCTTCATTCTTTGGCTCATTCCATTCACAGGGGCTCAGTCTGTGGGAAAATGACAGGATAAAACCAGACACTCAGAGGAAAAAAAATTAAAATAATCCCCACCAAGAGATCTGGTGTTCCTCATGGGAGATCCCACTCCTAATGCTGGCTTAATCTAGCAGGGTTTAAGCTTTCTTAGCCACTGTACTAGAGCTGTACAGGAGGTTCCTCAGAGCAAAAGGCTCCTTGGGACTTTCTAATCTCTTCATAGATGAGAAAGGCACTGACTTAACACAATCTGTGAACAGAAATGCATTTGTACCTGGCGACAAGAAAGAGGCAGAAGCACGTGAGCAGGTAAGCAAATAAAAGGGCTGTCCAGGTCTCCTTGCTGAAAGGAGACAGGAAGTGGAAGAAAGACATGTCCTGGGAGGCCGTGTCCTTGCGGAGCAAGATCCCAATGCCAGTCTGCAGGAAGGGCGTGGTGAAGGACACCACCTCTTCC